AGTTCCTTTTTTTCCTGATATGTTAAACTGTGAATGCAAAGTGAACCGAGAAGAAAATACAGCCTTAATTTAAATCGTTGTTTTGGAGCAAGGCATGCAATCTACCAGTCTGAAAGTGTGAATTATCATATAACATAATTTTCAATTTTGTGAAAGGTAAACTTAGCTCTAAAGGAATGAATAATTGTATATATAGGAAACTTTGACAGTATCTCTGTCTTAGGACTGATAAAATGATTCATCCATCTATCGATCAATTGACCTTTAAGACATTTACATGAACAAAACACAAGACACTTCTCTTTAAATACCAATGGGACTTTATTAATTTGTTCTAATACATGTAGACTAATCTAACACAGACACATGCACTCACACATTCACAAAAGTAGAAAGAGAAAGAGAAAGAAAGAATGAAAGAACAAAAGAAAGGATGGCTTTGAGGAAAGTGAAAGAATGAAATCCCAAGTTTCTAGCAACATGCCGTTTCTTAGACCTGACCTGAATGAACCATCCGTCATTAATTTAGCCCTGTCATTGAGTCATCAATGAGTCTATGAAACTTTATATCAATACACCAGTTCAGCTAGAATCTGGAGGCATTATTTACATATCTTGGGTTGCATCTTTGAATGGGGATACTCTTTTGTTGCATTATTCTCTGAAAGGGGTTTCCCAGGTTTGCTCATTTGTTGGAGGTGTTGGTCACATCTTGAGTAAAGTCTTGGGAAGCTTGTTAAGTTTGAGGTGAGGAAAGACAGCACAACCTAACTTGGAAAACAAGGCTCTCAATGGAAAAGAAACTAAAGTAAATGAAAGAAAAGAAAATGAGACTAGAATGGTTGGCTGATGATGCTGGATTTTGGGCTAGTCCTAGACTCAGACTAGAGTTGGTTTCTCTGACTATACTGATAATTCATTCATGTCATGAGTTTTTAAACTCTACTGGTTGACAAGGTGTAACTATGCTCTTCTCCACTCACATTAAAAGACATGTTAGGTGTGTTCGACTGGAAGCAGTGGAAGTACCGTGAGAGCGATTTGAAAGCATGCAGAGTTATCTGCTCTCTGTAGCTCTCGCGGTACTTTGAAGTCATACACTGATCGGTCTGCAAAGTGCCACTTCAAGTCGAACACACCTGTTATCTTCTCAGTTACATGGTTCCTAATTGTCCCGCTCTTGCAGTGTAGAATTTAGTTGTGAATTCTGTAATGAGAATATGACCCATTTTACCCAGAAATTAGTAACATTTGGGAAATTAACATTCACACACATACCAAACATCACATCTTGGAGACCCAGGCTGTGTCCGAAATCGGCACTATTTGAGGGAACGGCCATTTTTAGTGGTGTCCGAAACCATAGTGGACGTTCTCGAGTGCACTCATTCAATCCCACAAAGCACACCATAAACGAGCGATTCAAGATAAATCCTTTAATCTTACTACTGGAGCTGCTAGTTTGCTAGTTTCAAATGATTAATAAACAGCAAGCACAAACTATGCAAAAGCGGCATTCCTTCCGGTGCACTCAGTGTCCGAATTCACTACTCGTTTTCATTCACTCCTTCTAGTGAACTGAATTAGTGACCTAATGTAGGGAATAGTGAATGAGGGTATAGGGGGCGATTTCGGACACAGCCCCACAGTCCTGTAGAGTTTAGCTCCAACTCTAATTAAATACAGCTGAACCAGCTAATCAATCTCCTCAGGACCACTTGAAAATCACAGTGTGTTGAAGCAGGTTATTAATAAACTTTGCAAGAGAGTGGGCAGGGTTGAAGACCTCTGTTATAATCTATTAAAAATTACTCACAATAATGGAATGAACAGTGAGTGATTAAAACATGAAAGTCAAACATGTGAGTTACACATATAACATAGAATTATGCAATGCAATTGTATTTGAATATAAGACCTCTTAATATTGTTTTGGAATGATTTGGTGCATTTAGATATGTCAAGGTAGTCACTATGCTACTTAGAGAGTGGTTTGAAGAGGATTTCAGTCCTGTGTTCCAGAGGTCAGAAAGTCTCAAAAGGGGGTCAAGCTCTCTGTCATGGGAGGGGAATCAACCCCATTTGCCTCAACTCATGATTCTTCATGCAGTAGTCAGGTTGTCATGTCTTCAGACCCATTTGTCTTGGGTTGACTGCCTAAAAATGACAATGTTGGAGGACATTTTCCTAATTTATATGATTGTCTATGGAGGAGTAATTAGTTCTAGCTCAGACCTGCTGGTGCCACATTGACAGTGTCTCCGATTTTATGGTCCTTGAAGTGCTGATTCTGGCCTCTTGTGCTTCTTGCTCTTTTTCTGCAGTTTACATCTGTTTCCAAGATACAGCTTTTACAAGAAGTTACATTTTGCATTTACACTGATACATCCCAAAATGCTACTTTAAGAATATATTTCACAATGAATACACACAGTATGCAGAATGCAGTCTGTTTATATGATGTTTGTGTGTGTGTGTGTCCTCTTAAATCAATAATTAACAAATACAAATAGTTCATCCAATAAACACTTACTAGGGGGTTCAGTTATCAGTATTATGAAATGGTTTTTTTTTATTCTATATTCCAAGTGTATGTTTTTAATGGCAAATGTATTCTCAAAATTTTTGAAATGTATATTTTCTTGCTTGTAATCAAAACCATGCACGAGATCTATAGTGCTGTTTTACATTCTTAATACTCAAATGTAGTACATAAGAACCTCTTCTTCTTAATACTACTTTGAATGAATAACCTTTATTTTGTCTCAAGAAATCTGCTTTTGCCTTGACAGAGAATCAGCATTTCCATTCCCTCTACCCAAGTTTGTTTGAACCATTACAGTTTTGCAATTCACTCTCCTCCACAGGCGGGGAGCTTTGGACAGCATGGCGGCCTTTGTGAGATCCAATGATGTTTCCAGAAGCCCTTCGGAAGGTGGATAGTCGATGACGAAAGTTCTCTCCAGAGAAAAAGTAGAGCATTGGGTCAAAGCATGAGTTAGCAGCAGCCAGGCAGAGGGTGATGACCACAGACTTCTGCATATAGATAGTATCTTTGCAGTTAGCGTTTTCACGGTTTTTAAAGTGGAGATGCAGTGTGCGCTGTATATGATAGGGCATGAAACTAACCAAGAAAGCCAGCATCACCACAACAATCATCCGAATGGCCTTGTTACGTGTGTAACGCTGCTTGTTCACACCGTTAGTGTTTCTAAGTAGAGTGCGCAAGATACCAGCATAGCACAGCAAGATGACCAGGAAGGGAATAATAAAACCCACCACCAGGGAAAAGTAATTCAGCATGATCAGTTTATCCAGGCTTTTGGACGTTTCTGGTGGTTCAAAACACTTGGTTTTGTTAGACTTTGGATCAGTATGCTGACCAGAGAGGAGGAAGGGTGAACTGGTGGTGCAAATGAAGACCCAAATGCACACGCAAACTATCCATGCCTTCTTCTCAGTGGCTAGCCTCAGGTTCTGCACCGGGAACACAATTGCTAGAAAGCGGGTAAAACTCATGGCCATCATGAAGAAGACGCTGCAGTAGAGATTCACATACAGCGCGTAGGAACTTAAGCGGCAGAGAAAGTCCCCCAGGTTCCACTGCCCTTTGTTAACATAGTAAAGCACCCGTAGTGGCAGAGTGCTGACACACAGCAGGTCTGACACGGCCAAGTTGAGCATGTAGATGTGGAAGGATGATTTCTGATGGTAGGTACGGAGGAGCACGTACAATGCGAAGCCATTGCCCATCAGCCCTAAGACGGTGATGATAGAATATACCGTTGAATAGACTTGATTACGGAAGTCATCGATTGAGGCGCACACTTGTGTATTATTAACCGTTGAAGATGTTATGTTAGATGGACCCATTCTTGCATTGGTGTCTGAAATATGAAAGAAACAAAGAAATATAAATATTCAATTCCTATAACATATTGATAGACTTTTTCTAATACAAATCTTTGCTGTATTTCCAAAGAAATGATACAGCTATACAAATGAACCAGAAAAAAGTCATATTTGTGTAAACAAAGGTGTTTCAGTCCTTTAGTGAGACCATGCTCTTCAAACTGATTTTTATCAATCATCACCCTCAGTGAGTGTAAGAAACACTGTACAGCAGGGGTCCTCAAACAGCAGACCTAATAACAAAGATAGCACCATTTTAATGTTTCTACAGTTTAAAGTGCGCCGCACATCCAAACAACAGGGCTGTACACACCACATGCGCTCAGGGTCATTTTGTGAAGGGTTAGTTTTATCAGGGGGAAGGGAATTCAGTTAATGTCAGTGTATTTTGGGTGTGACCACTAGAGGGCGTTCTCGGTTAATGCATGTGCCATGCTGTGAACTGATGAAGTTGATGGTTGTCTGAGTTGTAATGCAACCACTTAGAAACTAAAAAACCTTTGTTAATTCGCTCCTTGTCTCAGTATTTGTACTGCACTCAAGCTATCACATATTGTTCAGGTGGAATATAGCCTGAGGGAAAAGCTGTTCTTGTGTCTGGCTGTTCTGGTGCTCAGTGCTCTGTAGTGCCAACCAGAGGGCAACAGTTCAAAGAGAGAGTGGGCTGGATATGAGCAGTCTAGGGTGATGTTCTTAGCCCTTTTCTTTACTCTGGAGGTGTAAAGTTCTTGGAGGTTGGGTAGGGGGGCACTAATAGTCTTCTCCTGTCCATTTTAAAAAGTGACGTGACATGTGGCCAAGTATGGTGACCCATACTTGGAATTAGTGCTCTGCATTTAACCCATCCAAAGTGCACACACACAGCAGTGAACACACACACACCGTGAACACACACCCGGAGCAGTGGGCAGCCATTTATGCACCACGACTTCCTAAGTCTTCTGATTTTGTAGCTGAGCCAAACCAGACAGTTATGGATGAACACAGGACAGACTCAACGAAGGCCGAGTAGAACTGTGTGAGCAAATCCTGTGACAGGTTGAACTTCCTCAGCTGGTGAAGGACGTACAACCTCTGCTTGGCCTTTTTAACAATAGAGTCATTGTGGAACTCCCACCAGGGTTGGACTTAGTGATTTGGGGGCCCAACACAATAACTATGTGCTCTTTTACTCCTAACCCTTGTTTTGCGCTCTCTCTCTCTCTCTC